GTAGACATTTGGTGTTATTGTAAAAAAAAAAACAAAAAAACATTTTATTAAAACTATTTGTTTCTCCTGATGAAATTAATAAGAGCCACTTAGGGTGTCTGTATAATGAACAGGAAACTATGCAAGGGCCTGCTCTGAAGTCTGCTTAGCTGAGCTTAAGACAAAGATCACAGCAGTAGTGGCTGAGGGTTGCTCTATAGTAACAGCAAACATGCTTTGGTCAGCTGAGGCTCGGTTTCTTAAAGTCTTAGAGTCAAAGAAACCGTCTAAAAAAGAATCTTACCAGGACAGAGCAATCAGGCCTTGCCTCATAAAACAGGACAGTGGCAGAAAAGGGTGTTCTGAAATCATGGTCACTCACAAGAGAAATACAAACATGGTTCTTCACTTAAGCAGCCATTTTTGTGCAATTCCAGGATCAAAAAGAACATTCCCATTGTATTAAGTTAACAGGTACTTATAGAATAATTATCACAAGTATGCCCAGCACTTTGGGAGATGAAGAACTAAGGTTCTTAAAGACCTTTACATATTTCTCATGTTATGTTCATGTTGTGTCTTTTTTTTTTTTTAAGGATGTTGAAGATTCACAGAACCACACTGGTGAGCCTGTTGGAGATGACTACAAGAAAATGGGAACACTTTTTGGTGAACTGAACAAAAACCTTATCAACATGGGCTTCACAAGGATGTATTTTGGAGAACGAATTGTGGAACCAGTAATAGTCATTTTCTTTTGGGTTATGCTGTGGTTCCTTGGCCTGCAAGCCCTTGGACTAGTTTCTGTTCTTTGCCTTGTTATTATTTATGTGCAACAGTAAAACATGGCTGAATGGAATTGTTTGACATTTGGTAGCCATATATGTAATTGAAGAAGTTATATGTTTCATTTTTTGACAACCGAAAAAGTTTGCCTTGTTTCAAATTGTGTGCTGGATGTTTTGTAAGTAAATTTATACATGGATGTTACTTAAAACTAAACTCTTGATCATAACAGGGTCGAATATATATTTTGAATATACATTAGCTTATTCAAAACTCTTGTTTCACTACTATGATCTCTGTCCCCTTTATACACCTCTATCCCCATGCCAAATCTTAGCTAACACCACCAGAAAGTGAACAGGGAAAATAACAGGACATGGAATTCAAATCAAGCAATCTAGTTCTTATAAAGAGTTCCAATAAAACATTTTAGAAGAAAAAGGATGAAATAAGCTACAAGTAAGTTTCACTTAGAAAATTGCTCCCCACTAACCCTCCCCACCAAATAATCCCATATTATTTGGGAAATATTTGGATTTCATTTGTCCCTACCCAGCCTAAACTAAGGTAAATGATAATTAGCATACACTACCTTAAGATTGTGATGAGAATCAGTAAAGATAGAATGTTTTCTAAGGGTTGAAAATAATATATTTATTGTTGCTGGGGAAAGTTCCCAGGTTAAATATAACTTTTAAAAAATGTAACATTGGGACCTAGACCTACCTTAGTATATCATTTGAAGTTTCAGACAATTTTGGTGCTACTTTTTGTGAGTTTTTAAAGTCTCATAGCCTAGTTGACTTCACCCTATGCTAATGCCATATTTTCTTGTGTCTAACAAGTTGCATATTTTTTCCTAGAGAGACATTTTCAGTATATATTTTTTAGAAATTTATAATTTTATAGTTCTTTCATAACAATTATTCTAAGTTTTAAAACAATGTATTTCCTATCTTGACATGGATTTTTTCACAAAAACAAATTATATTTTACTGTTGTTTTCAAGAAAAAATCAGATCATTTTTCTTTGATATCTATATCAGAATGTATAATATTAACAGTATAAAACTAAATGCTTAAATTTGGAACTTAGCCAATTTTGATAATATTTTTCTAAGGCTAAAGTCATGTCAGCAATTGGCTAGCCATGTTATTAAGGTCTCTTAATTCAACATTTTTAGGTTTTATATTGAAATTTGCATTTCTTTAAATATTTGAAAATGGGGAATGGCTTTAGTGGTATTTTGGATTTTGTTAGAGAACCTAAAATCTTTACACTTTCATCTCAAAGACTATAAAGGAAAGAGGTAGTTAAGATCATTTAGAATTCAAGTTAAATTTCAGAAAATTGGGGCAGTCAGGCATTTTTATCTTTGGTAGGGCAACAAGTAAAACATGTAGAGTGCTTGCTATTCCACTTTTTAAAGCTTTTACCGAATCTTATTTCTAAAACTCTGTGCATTCTCAGTGTCTTCTCATTCTGAAGCAGAAAATAAGGAAGAACATTCAACTTAGATTTCTAAAATCAGATAATCCTAAACAAAAATGTTAGTCGGGGTCACTAAAAAGTATTGTGCATTTATATAAATACAGGCCTTTTGAAATTTGACTTTTAAAAAGCAAAAGACTTTGTACGATATCATTGTGTTTTTATTGCATTTGCAATATTTTTATAGTAACCTTTATGAACTCAGTATAAGTGCAAGTTGTTTGAAAAGGTGTTTTTATTAGTGCACAGTAGAATTGTGAGGTTTTCAGTAGACGTCATGAGATTTTGTATATCTACATAAAATATAAGTACATTTTTTTCTAATGCTACTGGAAATTTTACTTTTCCTTTGGAACACATAAACAATACTATGTACAAAATAATAGCTCTGGTTCCACCAGTACCTAATGTTGAAAACATTTTTAAAGTAATTTTTAATAGTAACTATTTAGTATACTATCAATACTATGCATCAGCACACTGGTGTTAATAGGGTATATATTAAATTATATAAAGAAATAAGATATTTTGCTGTTATTCTTTCTACATATATTATTATTGGTTGTTAGTACAGTATACCATCAAATATTTGGCTTTGATATGAGAAAAAACAAACTTTGCCTATGTAATTGAAATAAAATATTTTCTTTTATGAAATAGAATGCAGATTATACTAATATCCTAAAATAAAACTGGTAATTTATTTGGTTCATGGTATAAAGAATTAGATTGGGCCAGGCGTGGTGGCTCACACCTGCAATCCCAGCACTTTGGGAAGCCAAGGTGGGTGGATCACGAGGTCAGGAGATCAAGACCATCCTGGCTAACATGGTGAAACCCCGTCTCTACTAAAAATACAAAAAATTAGCCAGGCGTGGTGGCGGGCGCCTGTAGTCCCAGCTACTC